GAGTTTGCCAAAAACCCAGTGTTTGCTGCAGTGCTTGTAAATTTTTGGTAACGACGTTTGTTTAAGTAAATTGTGATATCAACAAGGGAATATCCCATCACAGTACAAATGATATCATCATTTGGTCGAAAAAAAATTGGATGTCAGCCAATGAATTTCGTGGTCCCAGATTGAGGTTTTGTAGAGCCTCGGTCGTCAAATATTTTTCATCTTAATCATGGCAGAAATTGTGTTCGCAACAACTACACATTGGTGCCTTTTCATATTCAGCGCGATAAGCCTTATTTAATTATGTAAATGGTTTGCACATCATTCGTTTGGTTCAATCGTTTTTATTTCTCAGCTGTTTCTATTGGCAGTAACATTTTCGGCTCCAAATACATTAGATTAGCCGTTTGAAACTTTCGGTGGGGCTAACATTCTTACAAAACATGCGTTGTTGTTTTTTTTTGTTGAGATCTAATCGGAATATGAAGTTCCATATGAACTTAGTCAAGGCCATAACGAATGAATTGATCTACTCTCATGATTGGTATCTTCTGTTTTCCCTACTTCTCACCTTTGACCTTAACCTATACCTGTGTGCCTTTTAATAAGATATGAAAATAATCAAGGCCTCAGCTTACCTTAAATACAAAGGCGCGCTATAAAAGGGCATTAGGTTCTCCCCCTAATTTTGAATTCACCGAAAAAAATAAAGATGGCGGACGATGAGGAGAACCGTAACGAACACTTAGCATTTGTTATACTCGTCAAAAGCAATAAAACATACCCAGAAACGGTCGCAAAACATCAGTCGAGTTATTCTTCTGTGAGTAGTTTTGTTTGGAGTACAATATTTCCTCGTTTCGTGTAAAAAAACTTGCGTTGTTACAGTCAAATTCAAATCGCCCGCCATTTTGAGCCTCCCCTACCCTACAGGCTATCCGTGGGGCTATCTTTGTCTATTGTGAGTCTTCATTTCACCGGTACAGTGGCAAGCAGTGTTCCAGTGATTTTTTATGCGCAAATACGCGATATATGCGAGGCCCGATCGAGCAGTGACGCGAACGAAATCATCGTCATTTCGCTTCGGAGTTGGTTGAGAGAATTTCTCTTAGTGTGAGACCTTTTGTTGAGGTTATTCTACGATTCGACTCGGAAAATGGACAGCTTTTCCCCTACAGATAAAAAGAAACGTACAAAAATCAACAAACGTGCAAATGCACGGCGAGATCCAGCGGAACGAAACTCACATTTCAGTCTGACAATTGAAGTCAAAAATCATCAGCAAAGTCGTTTTGAAGCTATCAAACAGACACCGCGGAAATACGTTTTTTAAGGCACGATACAGTATTTTATTGGTCAGCGGACACCTCAACGAAACCATAAAATACCGTTAACTTTTACAATGTTTTCGCCGTGAGTCAAATCGACAGCGTAAAAAGGCAAAACTTAGAAAGAATAATTTAAACTTAGCTTTAAAACTTCGTTCACCTTTTGGATAGTTCTCAACCTCAATGATATAATTTGCCAAAGCCGAACTGAACGTGCACACGATATGAAATTATTGTTTTTCGCTGGGGCTCCGTGGCAACCAAGTTTTGTTTATAAAAGAGCATAAGCACTAAGGATAAAAATGAGACGGTTTTTGAGTGGCTGAAGCGGTGATCCGAGGACGCTGCACCATCAGGTTTATAAAGCAGTGCCTTGAACCGTATAAATCGGCATGTCAACGGCATTCCGGTCAGATTCGCCGAGTGGACAAAACATGTCCGTGTACCACGAACACCCTATCCTCACTGATTATTGTACGTATCATAGTTGGCAAAAACCTATGACTGTAACATGTATAGGACTGAAGCCCCCAAAAATATAAAAATTGGCTCAACCAGAGTAAGAATAAATCGAGGTATGTTTAAGTACAAAATGTCCATTGTAATGGTAATAAATTAAGTTTTCACTTTCCACCTTAGTTTGTAATTTTTTTTTTCTAACCTGTAATTTTTTTTTTCTGAGCAATAATTTTACTTTCCCAACAAGTATTTGTTTCCCATCAATATTATGAATACTTTGTAGTATGTCTTTTTTTATGCTGCTCTTCCCTCACCAATCATTTTATTTTATTTCTTTCTTTTTGCTTTTTCTTTTCTTTCTTTATTAACTTATTGCCATCTTCTGGTTTATATAGTTCCCTGATTCACAAAGTAACATTACCATCTTGGTACTACTAGAAAACAAATGTAAAAAGTAATAAAAAACAAAAGTACTGTACGGTAAAATAATTATAATAATATTATTTAATCAATTTATGTAAATAAAGCAGTGTATTGTCTTTTCTCATATTACAACAGCCTTGAATGAATCAACAATCTTCTAAACTTGATTTCTTATATTCAGAAGCTGCCTGAATCATAAACAAAGAACTTATGTTGGGTGTTTATGGAGGTGGAAAGAACATAATGATTATGGTGATTAATCTTCCAAATTAGAAATGAGGGAAATTATCAGAAGTATTTCTCAAGTCAAAGTTGTTTGTTAAAAATGTTCAGGAGAAAATTGATTATATTAAGCCAGCTGTCAATTCCCAGTTAACACTAAGTCACGAGGAGTAACCAAAAGCTTGTAATTAGCCTGTGTACTGCTGTGCCCATCCAGTCAAATAAATATCAGGGATGGGATATTCCCAAACGTAAACAATGATAGTACCATACAAATGTTCTTTTCCCAACTTATTACTGGGGATGGGAGCACTTGTATGTCTACACTAGTTGTAGTCAATAGGAAATTCTTACTAATTTCGGCAATATACATATTTTGCCACCTTCAAAGAAAATAGATTCAAGTCAAATAGGAATGTTTCATAACAATGTTCTGTAGGGATATGATGTAATATTACTGATGGGGATCATAATTATCCTTACAGTGGCAGAGCATGTGATGTGTATGTAAAGCAAAGCAAAGCTAAGCTAATCTTTAAAAAAATGAATGCAAGAAGGGTAGTTGATTGTTTGCATAAATTAATGCAATGCACATGCAAGATACTGGAATATACTTCAGATAAACTTACATGTGCCTGTAAAAGTTTCAAATGACTGAGTTATAAAAATATAATAATAATATTAATAATAATAATAAAGTGGGTTTCATCGAAAATGCTTTCGCGTAAAACAATTACAGCTGTTTGAGAAATTAAAGCAGCTTTCGTTGCAACAGAATAACGCCTGTTTAGTGATGTTTACAAAGGAAGTGGAAATCGAATAAATTGTGAATTGTTTGCTGCGCTAAGGCTCGAAAAAGATTATTATATAGGCGATTGATTGAGGGCGCTGAAAATATGCAATATTTGAGATCGTCCAACATGATCGGTTCATTTATAATTTATCTTGAATTGTTGGCAATCCCTCGTAACGAGTAAGAAGTCCACTTGGCAGTGATTAAATTAAATTAAATTAAATTAGTTTACATGAGTTCGCTGGTGACTATACAGTCCGATTTGGGAAGAGCAAATTCTCTGAAAGACTGGACATCTGAAATCAGTGGAGGTTGGAACTACGCTGGGATTTTGTTGTCTCTCTTTTCTCGCCAAGCGGAGACTCTCACAGTGTTCCCTCCTCCGTTCCTCACTATGCGTTACACCAGTGTGGATAGCACTTCTCCAGCTAGGCCGGTCATTGGCCAATTGTTCCCAGCTCTCGGGGTTAATACCGCACTGCTTCAGGTTGTGTTTAAGGCTATCCTTAAAGCGTTTTCGTTGCCCCCCCTGGTTACGTCTTCCATTGGACAGTTCACCAGCAGAATCTTCTTTGGGAGCCTGAATGAAGGCAAACGGACAGGGTGACCAGCCCAGCGAAGTTGGTTCTTGATAATATAGGACTCAATACTTGTGACATTAGCCAATTCCAAAACACTGCTGTGTGTTCTTCTGTCTTGCCACTTGATTTTGAGGATACGGCGAAGGCAACGTTGATGATACCTGTCAAGACTTTTGAGATGATGGCTATAGGTTGTCCAAACTTCTGAGCCATACAGCAGGGTTGGCAATATTACGGCTTTGTAAACCTTTATTTTGGTGTTGATGTAGAGGTTTCTATTATCAAACACCCTGTCTCTGAGGCTACCGAAGGCAGCACTAGCTAATTTTAGACGAACTTGGGTTTCAACATCCAAATCTGCCTTGCATGACAGGCAACTACCAAGATCCGAGAAATGATCAAAAGAGCTAAGGCGTGTGTCTCCAACTGTAATCTCTGGTTGTTTTCGCTCAAGTGTGTGATCAGGTGATGGTTGCAAAAGAGCTTGTGTCTTCCGAGCATTGAGTGTGAGACCAAGCGCATCATAGGCATAACTGAAGGCATCCACAGCCACTTAAAGGTCTTCTGTGTGGGTCACTAGGGCGTTGTCGTCAGCATATTGTAGCTCGAGTATAGCCATGAGAGTGGTTAATGTCTTAGCCTTCAGTCGCCGTAAGTTGATCAGCTTGCCATCCATCCTAAACTGCATATCTATACCACCAGGTAATTTCTCCGACACCAGGTGTAGCACGGCGGAGATGAAAATCGAGAAGAGTGTTGGGGCTATGACACAGCCCTGCTTGACACTAGTCTTCACTACAGAACTTTCGGTAGACGCGCCATCAATAAGTACTGATGCAAACATGTTATCATGCAGCAGACGGATCATTCTGATGTATTTCTCTGGGCATCCAATTTTAGAGAGCACTTTCCACAGTGTTGGCCGATGTACAAAGTCAAACGCCATAGTCAGATCAATGAAAGCCATATAAAGGTCTTTATGCTACTCCCTGCACTTTTCCCGAATCTGTCGTGCCGAGAAAATCATGTCCACAGTCCCACGTGCTGGTCTGAAACCACATTGAGACTCTGGAAGGACCTCCTCGGCAATGGGGAAGAGGCGGCATGCAAGGATGCGAGCAAAGATCTTCCCAACAATGGAAAGCAGGGATATACCTCGGTAGTTTTCACAGTTTGCCTTGTCGCCTTTCTTGAAAATGGTGATACTCAGAGCATCTTGAAGATCGCTGGTAATTCCTCGTCCCAGATTCGCGTGAAAAGTACTTGCAGTTTCTCAATGAGAACTGGACCAGCAGCCTCGTATGCTTCTGCGGAGATACCATCAGGGGAAGCAGCTTTGCCTTTCTTCATAGCACCTATAGCTGTGGCAATATCCTCTAGAGTCGGTGTCTCGTCAAGATGGCTTTTTACGGAGAGTTGAGGCAAATTCGCAATTGAGTCAATGTTCACCAAGGGAGTCTGATTCAGTAACTTACAGAAATGTTCTTTCCATCTGTCACGAATGCCAGCCAAGTCCTTGTAAAGGGTTCCATCCTTGCCTGCAACTGGCCTAACACCCTGGGATGTTGGTCCATAGATCTTTTTGGTGGCTTCAAAGAAGGCTTTGCTGCTATTGCTGTCGGATAGAGCTTGAATCTCCTGTGCTTTTTGAATCCACCAACTATTTTCCATCTCACGGACCCGGCGTTGGACTTTGGATCTCATTTCGTGGTATTGGTGTTTCTTTATAGCATTACTGATTTCATTCTGCCAAACAGATAATATTTTACGTTTCTCAGCAATCATATGCTCTATCTCTGCGTCATTGTTATCAAACCAGTCCTGATGGCACCACTTCTGGCTGCCCAATGTTTCGTCACAAGCTGTTTTAATAGCGGTCTTTAAACCTTCCCAGAGACAATCAACATCGATGTCGTCAACGTGTAGCAGCGCTGCAGTCAATTTGGACTGGAACTCAGCTTGTTTCTCTGGGTGATCAAGTTTCCCTAGGTTATACTTGGGCCTCTGCCGTTTCGGCGTCATTCTCTGCTTTATGCGAATGAAAAAGGACACAGAGGATCGTACTAGCCTATGATCAGTCCAGCACTCGTCAGATGATGTCATTGTCTTGGTGATCAGAACGTATTTTATGTCACAGCAACGTACAATGACATAGTCAATCATATGCCAGTGGTGTGATCTAGGATGTGTCCATGAAGTCTTATTCCTGTTCTTTTGGCGGAAGAGAGTGTTTGTTATCACCAGCTGGTGCTCCGCACATTTGGTCAGGAGTTGGATCCCATTGGAGTTAGCATTGCCCACCCCTTCCTTCCGAATGACATTTTCCCATACAGAGTGATCTCTGCCAACCCGAGCATTGACGTCACCAAGGAGAATGATCTTGTGATTGGATAGAATCTGTGTTAACACAGAGTCAAAGATGGAGTAGAATATCTCGTTATCTTCAGGTTCAGCCTGTAGAGTTGGTGCATATGCGGAGATTCCTGTCGCTTGTTGATTGGATTTTAGCTTCAAACGGAGTGTCATCAGGCGTTCGCTTACACTAACCGGGAGTTTCATCCAGGTTCCCAATCAGCTCATTTTTTTACGGCAAAGCTCACGCTATGTATTCTCTGTTCATTCTCCTCCTTCCCCTTCCAGAAGAAGGTATATCCTGCTCCTTTCTCAGTCAGTTCTCCTTCACCAGCGGGACGGGTCTCTTGAAGCGCAGCGATATCAATATTATACTGGCGAAGCTTACGAGCAACGAAAGCAGTTCCCCTTTCTGGTCTCTCGCTATTTTCAGTGTCCATCAAAGTACGTACATTCCATGTACCAAAAAGGAGTTGTTGCTTTCTTTGTTTTCGACCGCAACAAAGGTGAACCCGCTGGGTGCAGTAACCCAGCCAGGGAATATAAGGAAACAGACTATGTTTAGAAGACCTTTTCTAATCCTTTCCCCATGCGGGGTGAGCAGAGTGGCTCCTAAAGAGGACTGCTCAGACATGGGGGCGACTACCGAACTACTCTTCTGTTCCCAACTCCAAGACCAGAGCGACTGTAACTTGAGCCCCACCGCCTACGTGCTGGTTCACAACTGAAGGGTTCCAGACTTCAGAATCGTGCCGCCGTCGCCACTTACCAGTCGCCGTAGGACTATTGGCCTAGTGCAACCTGTGCGTGAATTTTTAACGTGAGTACAAAGTTGCACGGCAAAGTTCCCACGGTGCTTGACATCACATGTCCTGGTTCCAATGGCAAGGATACCTCGACGACTGGAGGACAAATTCTGCTGCAGTGGATGGCCGTTGGCTCGCGAGGAGCTCATCCGCCCTTTGAAGGTCTTGTTTTTAATCCTAACTGGGTGTCCACACACCCTCCTCCACAGGCAAGCCAGGGGGGGCTGTCGGCTTAGTCGCCGACGACTCGACTATGCGACAGGTTATACTGGGTTACATAGTACCAGTAGCATGTTACCCGCGGTTACAGCGACCTGACCTGTTGCAGAATCAAGTTGCGGTTACAGCGACCTGACCTGACCCAATTAAATTAATTGACTTAATTAGTCAATTGAATTAAGCCTTTATTGAAAGCAGTTGATAGTAGATCTCTATTACATGTCTTTAGTACGTTTGGTTGTGCCTGTTCACGAGATAACTTGTTGATAAAACTGCAAGTATATGAAATTAACATATGTTTTCATATTTTGATTGCGGACACCCGTTCTTAAAGGCACAGAAGATCAGAAGGGTGGAATGGCGAAAAATCAGTCTATAAAGGTAAATTTCTCATTCAAGCGAATAATTACCAAAATGAAAAGGCACCGCACGTCGGCGCAAAGTGAGTGTATGAATATTTTCACAACACAATAATTACCTGTATCGCTTCATGTTAATAACACTTAAAAATCCAACCAGTCTTCAGACTCGCTGGAAAAGTATCATACAGAACTAATCTCCCGCTTTTTCCGGATAACTATCGCTGTTTTTGACAATTCTGAAGGCGAGGTTGACTGAAGAACCGAGATCGCGCTTCGTAACTGGGCGGCCAGCCTAAGTCAGCAAACAGCACACAACTCCAAACAAAATGACTCCCCTATAACGCTATTTGCTAAGACGTTGTTTTAGTATTAAAACTAATTCAAAGTATCAAATATAACAAACAAGGAGAAGTATCATGCATATTTTCCAACTTAAAACCACGCAAAAGGCCGATGTCTTCATCGAACTCAGTCTACAAGCATATGGAAGCGCTTGGCAGCCTAAATTTGATTACCACTGACCCGTTACTGTGACGTCACGAAAACGTATTTCCGCGGTGTCTATCAAACAGAGGATAAGCAACGCTAAATCGGCTCTTGGTATAGGTAGACAGACGTCTACTACGCAAAATGCTGATCTCATGGAAAGGCTTCTCTCGTATTTTGAAATGATTTGTTCATCTGAGTTGTGGAAAGTAGCTCTTCATCCATCACCAAGACTGATGTGCTCGAAGGGCCGAGAATCAATTGTGTGAATTTTGTGGCGTACATTACCAATAGGCTTCAGCTACTTTTTCAAGTCAAGGGCACGTGCGTAACATATTCTTCCAGTACGGTCCCGAGCAAGCTTGGTTAATAAGAGATTTATTACACGACTGATGAAAGCTTTGAAGGTGTTTCACAAATTCCATGTTACATTATGCGGAAAATGTACGGGATAAAAAGGACCCGATTNCCTTTTCACGGCAAAGTCGCTCTGCATTATAAGGAACTTCCTCTAAAAACCTCTTGGAACGGTCTCATAAAAACTCCTTCAGAGAGACTCTTAGTTGAGGTGAGACCTCGATGCTGAGAGAATTTAAATTAATTAAAGTTTCAAGTCTATGATCTCCCTAATTTAAATCCTTCTCTTTTATACATCAGCCTTTGTGGCCGTGCAAATATACTGTTTACGAAAAGAGCTCTATCAGTGCAGTGCTAATGCTAGGATGGAGGAGAACCAATATGGTCACCCCAAACGATCCAACCTTTGTGGTATCGTCTAAGCCATGCCAGAGTGCTCAAACTAGAGTACACTAGCGAGCATGCGCAATTGCAGAGCAATGACTCATCCTAGTTAGAGTGCTCAATTTGGACATGAAAGCAAAGCTTTGTATGCCAAAGAGCTATATCTAACTGCAGACAGTACTGTTTCGGCCTTCTGGGCCTCATCAGTGCAGTGCTAATGCTAGGATGGAGGAGAACCAATATGGTCACCCCAAACGATCCAACCTTTGTGGTATCGTCTAAGCCATGCCAGAGTGCTCAAACTAGAGTACACTAGCGAGCATGCGCAATTGCAGAGCAATGACTCATCCTAGTTAGAGTGCTCAATTTGGACATGAAAGCAAAGCTTTGTATGCCAAAGAGCTATATCTAACTGCAGACAGTACTGTTTCGGCCTTCTGGGCCTCATCAGTGCAGTGCTAATGCTAGGATGGAGGAGAACCAATATGGTCACCCCAAACGATCCAACCTTTGTGGTATCGTCTAAGCCATGCCAGAGTGCTCAAACTAGAGTACACTAGCGAGCATGCGCAATTGCAGAGCAATGACTCATCCTAGTTAGAGTGCTCAATTTGGACATGAAAGCAAAGCTTTGTATGCCAAAGAGCTATATCTAACTGCAGACAGTACTGTTTCGGCCTTCTGGGCCTCATCAGTGCAGTGCTAATGCTAGGATGGAGGAGAACCAATATGGTCACCCCAAACGATCCAACCTTTGTGGTATCGTCTAAGCCATGCCAGAGTGCTCAAACTAGAGTACACTAGCGAGCATGCGCAATTGCAGAGCAATGACTCATCCTAGTTAGAGTGCTCAATTTGGACATGAAAGCAAAGCTTTGTATGCCAAAGAGCTATATCTAACTGCAGACAGTACTGTTTCGGCCTTCTGGGCCTCATCAGTGCAGTGCTAATGCTAGGATGGAGGAGAACCAATATGGTCACCCCAAACGATCCAACCTTTGTGGTATCGTCTAAGCCATGCCAGAGTGCTCAAACTAGAGTACACTAGCGAGCATGCGCAATTGCAGAGCAATGACTCATCCTAGTTAGAGTGCTCAATTTGGACATGAAAGCAAAGCTTTGTATGCCAAAGAGCTATATCTAACTGCAGACAGTACTGTTTCGGCCTTCTGGGCCTCATCAGTGCAGTGCTAATGCTAGGATGGAGGAGAACCAATATGGTCACCCCAAACGATCCAACCTTTGTGGTATCGTCTAAGCCATGCCAGAGTGCTCAAACTAGAGTACACTAGCGAGCATGCGCAATTGCAGAGCAATGACTCATCCTAGTTAGAGTGCTCAATTTGGACATGAAAGCAAAGCTTTGTATGCCAAAGAGCTATATCTAACTGCAGACAGTACTGTTTCGGCCTTCTGGGCCTCATCAGTGCAGTGCTAATGCTAGGATGGAGGAGAACCAATATGGTCACCCCAAACGATCCAACCTTTGTGGTATCGTCTAAGCCATGCCAGAGTGCTCAAACTAGAGTACACTAGCGAGCATGCGCAATTGCAGAGCAATGACTCATCCTAGTTAGAGTGCTCAATTTGGACATGAAAGCAAAGCTTTGTATGCCAAAGAGCTATATCTAACTGCAGACAGTACTGTTTCGGCCTTCTGGGCCTCATCAGTGCAGTGCTAATGCTAGGATGGAGGAGAACCAATATGGTCACCCCAAACGATCCAACCTTTGTGGTATCGTCTAAGCCATGCCAGAGTGCTCAAACTAGAGTACACTAGCGAGCATGCGCAATTGCAGAGCAATGACTCATCCTAGTTAGAGTGCTCAATTTGGACATGAAAGCAAAGCTTTGTATGCCAAAGAGCTATATCTAACTGCAGACAGTACTGTTTCGGCCTTCTGGGCCTCATCAGTGCAGTGCTAATGCTAGGATGGAGGAGAACCAATATGGTCACCCCAAACGATCCAACCTTTGTGGTACCGTCTAAGCCATGCCAGATTGCTCAAACTAGAGTACACTAGCGAGCATGCGCAATTGCAGAGCAATGACTCATCCTAGTTAGAGTGCTCACATGGAAATATTCTCATTTTCTTTCTTTTTTTTTTTTCAGTCCGTGCTTAAACGGAACTTTCATTTCAAGTTTTTTACGCGGATGAAAAATGCAAAAGGAAGTCTGAGAAGTCTCAGCCTCTGTTCTGCATAAGACAAAACAAAGTTTATGCTGAAAGCTTTTAAGGAAGGTGTGGGAAAATGAGAGGAAAATTCACAGGTCAATCGAATTGTTTCTAAAATGAAAACCAGTTGTTATTAGCTATGATCAAAAAGGGAAAAAAATATTTTTACAAAAATGAGTGAAAGCAAGAGAATATAAATTGATATTCTCTTACTCTCCTGACCCTAAACGAGGAGTTTTTATTCTGGGTCAGCCGTAAATACTGTAAAGAGTATTGAAGGTGAAAACTTTAAGTGAAAAGTAAGAACATTTGCCCTCTATGCACGTTTGTACATTCGTACTATTTATGTCAGTTTTTATTTGGAATATTACTACCATAAGAAT